CGTTGTTACATTTTTTAATCATGTAGTTTGCAAGACAAGAGCTGTGATTCACAATGCAACGTTTTATTCTCCATGCTCTGACAAGTGACACCATGGCTTTGTTTTGACTTAGTTCAAACACAAATTCATATGTTAATAGTGTATAGTAAGAGAAAATGAAGCCAAACAATGAAGATTTGTAAAATTTTAGGTACAATGGTTTTATGATTTCCCACTTCTTTTTCAATGCTTGCTCTACAAGGAAGTGCATTTGAGCATTTTTAAACTAAGAAAAAGGATGGTCTGAATTATTATTATGTATGAACACAGTTGGCATATTTTAGCTGATGTATCATCATTATTGCCACTGTTATTATTAATTAACATGCTGAATGTCATGAATGTATTAAAGCATACTGTTTGTATTCCATAGACAAGGCAAATGTTTGTGATTAATTTACAGTTGATATAAAATACAGAACTATATTTCCAAAAGTCATGATGCATTTACTTACACGTTCCCTATAAATACACAGCTTTAATTTGCAATACTCTTCCTAGTTTCTTGTGATCGCACATTTATTTTGTAAGTGCATGCTGTGTTTTCTTTCTCTTTGTATTGCTTGCATTAATTCAGACATGAATCTGTTAATGCAATTACAGAAGTGTAAAGCAGAAAGCAAAATACTTACTTTTTAATACACCAGTGCAGAGTGACCCCACAGTAAGGTCACACTGCTTGCATTGGCTCCTGTCTGTGGTCAGGAGAGGTCTCTGGGAGCTGGTTTTGGAAGCTGGCACAAACTCACTCTGTCATGTGCTACTCGGGGAAAAGTTCAGACATTCAAATCTGGGCTCAAAACACAGACAGCAAGAGCTGAGATGCAGTTCTGAGAGAGGAGATTTATTATGTATTTTTGCCTGTCCTACAGTGCTCCTGACTGCCCTTTTGACTGTACCTTTTAAAGTTCATGTCTGCAAGCACCTCTTTAAGTATGAAGTATAGTATAAGGTTGGAGAGTATCTGTATCTGGGTATGTGGCATTCAGTGATGGCAAACTTTTCCGTCTGTGCCTGAAAAGATTTAAAAATTGAGACGTACTGGAGCTGAGATGGATCAATGTGTTAATAAAACCAGTCAGTCTCCACCACCAAAAATTCAAAGTGACTACTATTATGACTTGCCACCTATGCTCCTTACCCCAATGGCCACAATCAACCAGAATCAATAGAGCAAAGCCTATATGAGCACAGGGCAATATTTGAACATACATGTCTATATTTACACTTAATGTTGGTATCACGGCACATCTTTAGGTTTAATGTACCTTTTGTGGCAGCACCTGAAGCGTTAGTGCACGTGAAGTATTTTAACACTACTGTGTCTAGCCTAATATTTGAAGATGTGAGATTACACTCCTGGTTTAGGGTGAGCAGTTGTCAGCATCCTGACAAAAATCTGAGGGACATATTTTGCTCTTGATTTTCATTCAAGACTTTTTTTTTCTCATTTTTGCCTTGAGAACTTTACAAAATAATAATTGGCCTCCCACCACTGCCCTCTGAAATCCAGCCTCTGGCTTTCTAAGCATTTTCACAGTATCCTCACAAAGCCGGGAGAGATCAGCTAAAACTTGGAAGCAAACCTAAGTTCCTTGAACAAGCCTATCATTCAGTAACAATTACATTGTCAGTTGTGTCAATGCATTTGAAGTAAGTAAAACAGGCAAAGTTAGGGAGAAAGAAGTGAATGTCAGTAAGAACCTCTAGGGCCAGATGCCATTGCCACTACTCAGCGAATGCACTCCAGGGTTGTTGAAACTGTTGGAAGAGATAGCACCGGATGGGAGGAAAACTGTTGTGGCCTATCTGAACAATTGTTTTCTGGAGAACTGATATATTTTGCAGTGGATTCAGAAGCAGGAATTAAAAAGCTGTTCAGCTGATCTTTCTGGGTAAACTGATTTTGACCAAAAATGTTATTTATAAATACACAAAAATGCTCTCGTGGTTTCTAATGCAAACCAGCAAAATAAAAAACCTGTGGCACAGGTAGAGCAGCTTTGATCTTAAGAGTCTTCATTCTGATTTTTCCTGCTATGAGAAGTGTTGCACTTGTGACAGTGTGCCAAGTACTCTGTTCCTAACGCTGTCTCTCTGCGACATGTAAAGGAAGTTTGGAAGGTCTCACTGCTGCGGCAGCTCTGTCTTATATCCCTGTTGGTGGGGAATCACAGCAGAGCACAGAGCTGCTGCAGAGGCTACATGGGTTTAAGTAAACTCTTAGAACCATTTCTGGGCAGGTATCCGGAAGCTAGTGTCTGGCAGCTTAGAAGGCTTTTCAAACACAACTAATCTGATACTTGACACCCTTGAATTTAGGTGTGCTAACATGTAAATCAAAAAGACTGACACAGAGCTATGTGTTAACATGGTCAGATGGGAGGGCAGCTCAGTTTGGAAGCTATATCCTTCTGCAGTGGTGACGCAGGCAGTGGTTAAACTAAGATCTTTTTTGCTGATTAGAGACTTGCTGAGCTAATTGAATGAGCTCTGTTCAGATAAACCAGATGGAGCTGCAGGTCTCTGCACACCACTGTGATTTTTTCCCACCTAGTCTTTAACCACACCATTTAAATGCCTCTACAATGTGCCAGATAGCATAAAGTAAAATAATTTATATTGTACACTTCATTGTTCACTCTTTGCACCTCCCCCACTCCTTTCAGATGCTGCACACTTATTGATCAAAAGCCATCTTCTGGGGTTCCTCTGCTTCTGGAACTGTTTCTGTACTCCAAGGTTTTAGAAATACAGAGCATCCTGTTTCTAGTTTCCAAAATTCAGTGTTACAGTGGAGTCTGCAGTGAAAATCAACACCAGAAAAAGTGCTGTCATCTCCATATTACTGAGAAGCATTTGAAAAAAGTTTTGTAGCCTCTATAGTTACCACATTTTCATACACATACAATTGCATCTATTATAGAAGCCTCTCGGGTAGGAACTGTAGTTTAAGGTATAAAAATAATAAAAACAGTGGACATACATCTTTTGGAACCATATAAAATCCAGGATGTGTCAGAACTACAAGATCTGGGATAGTTTCCCATAAAATTTACAGATATTACAAACCCGCAAAGTTTAACTCCATCCAGGGGGAAATATATAATCTATTGCTGAGTCCTGCTCTCCAAGCAGCCTGAAGTATGGCCACGCTGGGTCTCCTGAGCTGTGACTACATAGTGCTGTGGCCTTCCAAGGTCCCTCCAGGAAATTCAACTCAATCATTCCTTGGAACATTTTGGCTCTCAGACTGCTGAAGGTGTCAGAAGTCTTTCAACAGTAGCATTTTTCTCTGGAACAAGTTACCTAAATGCCTTAATCCTCACGTCAGCTATTGCAGAACTGGCAGACCATCTGTTTTCAAAAGATCACTTATTCTTTTCACTTACAAAAACCCCCTCTTGTCATTTCAGACAGTCTAGCACCAGTAAAAGCTTCTTCACAATTTATACATGCCTGTTATGCTCATGTCTCTTGTCACAGCCTTCATTTGCACTATCTTCTCTTGTTCATCTGTCACTCTTAATTGCTTTTTTGTCTCTCTTCTCCCTGTCTTCTTGTTGGCATCGCATTTGAAATGAAAAGCAATGAAATTTGTAGACTGGTACTTTGATTATACAGGACTGGATTCTCCATGGCCTTAGAGCTGAAACAAGGCCAACCTATCTCCTGCATGAATAGACTGCATTTTCAGCTGTACTGCAGAAGTCCATCCAAAGTCCTTTGATGAGGTTTTACTCATGGTCCAGCTGACAGCCTTGCAGTCTGCAAGGTGGCTTTGCCTTGTTTGCGGTCTCTGCTCTCCAACCTTGAAGAAGGTCAGAAAAAGTTGTTGGTACACTGGGTGAAGTCTGGTGGTTAATGCCACCTCCTGCTCACACTGCAAGTCAGACAGAGGTATTAGGATGTGGCATTAAAAGCAGGATGCATACTACAACCCCTCAAATGTTTTTGCTGTGCCAGATACTTGTGGCTAAGTCCTGTGAGATGGTGAGTCATTCTCATAGTTTGATACTTCCAAAAAGGCTGAACCCACTGCAAGTCATCCGCTCCTGCTGCTTCTGCTACAGTGGTGCTGGTGCCAGTGTGAAGACAATTCAGTTCCATCAGCTGGCAAAAGCCTAGATTTTGATGGGCACATTCTGTAAACTGAGTTGAACCTGCTCATAAGTCAGACAAGAGCTATCACCAGCATGAACAAAGAGCCAGAACTGTGTCTGGGAATGGGGGGAGTGATGTGGGAAGTTAAGGGAGCATCCTCCTTTCTGGCAGTGAGCTGCTACCTTAGTGCTGCCATGTTGCAGAATACCCTTGTTGCAGCTGCTAGGCACATTGCTGTGCTCACTGGTGCTGCCATTGAAGGTGTGAGTGAGTCCCAAAGCTGGCATCCACTGAGCCCTGTGTAGGGAAGGATGACTATGGAAAGTGGAGAGAGGTGTCTGAACACATCAGCTGTCAGGTTCCCCCAGAAGCCCAGGGTGTCACCACAGTCTGTGCCTGTTCAGCCCCTGGAAGACCACAGCTTTCCCACTCTGTCAGGATTTGTCATTGGAAGCAAGTGGAGATGTGAGTTCCTACCTGTGGCTGCTGCTTTGCAGCATTGGCAAGGAATCCCACTGCACACTAAAGCTTCTGAGTGACTCATCTGAGATGTGTTTTCCATGACAGATGACTACCATAAGGACAAAATCCTACAGTTGTTTTTCCCTGCTGTGCAGAATAACCCATCTTGCTCAAGGTTATCAGCAGTCAGCTCATCTTGGCCAAACACAGTGTTAGTTCTGGGACCCTGGTGTTGTCATGTTGTGAATCAGCAGGCCTGGAAAGCAAGAAAGTGCTTTTTCAGAAAGCATCTTATCTTTTCAAAACCTTTTAATTTCAAAAAAAATTTGTGATGTTCCTTAAATGCTTCATTTTACAAAATTTTGTAAAGTACATTCTTAAATTTAAAAAGAAGGAGATGGTATTCAAACACTGATAGGAAAAGCTGGGTTACCCACAGCCAGACAAAAGAAAAACTGGATTATCTGGGTAATTATTTAATGCAAAATATTCTATAGACACTATGTGAAAATGAACAAAACTTGGAAATTGGGAAAGAGAATAGCAAGGCTCCTTTAAAAAGCAACAGCACTGAAAGTTTGAAATTTTCCTACATTGGCATTTCTGTGTTTTGATCAGCCTAAACCCTCTACTGTGAAGGACAGGGCTTGGGGTCACTTGGTGCCACAGCTCACTGGCCATTGTCTTGTATAAGTCACATTTCTGTTACTGTAGAACTACTTCATCTGCATCTCTGGTTTCACAGGATAGTCAAGTGCAAATATGTATTTCCCCCCGCAGATGCTTCCTAGTATCCCTGGATATTGACTACTGTCAAGTAAGGGGTGTACTTAAAGTTGTAGAAAACGTACCATATATACCATGTTTTGGTGTTGTGCTGACCTCTCTGTCCTTTGTTCAACATTGAATCTCCTCTTGTGGAAATGGTTAGGCCATATACCACACCACCTGCTGTCTGGCTTTTAGTAGGGCATAGAAACATGTTTGCTTTTCTTTGTGTTGCATCTACTAGCATTCAAATTGGCATCGTTTAACTTCAGTGCTATGTTAGACAAAAGCATCTGTGAAGCAATTGTGACTGATCTTTATTTGGCAAGTGGTCAGAGGACAACAGCCGACTTCTCAGATTGCCTGTTGAGGTTGGAAAGGACTGTATAGTAGTGAAAAGCCTTCTGTAGCGCCTTCCTATCAGAGACCCTTTAACAGCTTTTTATTGCTCATGCAAATAACATAAAATCCAACACTGTGACATATATAGGAATTATTATCTCTGTAGGGAGTCTCAGAAATGAGGAGAAATCAGTTTCCTGGACCTGCTGAAAGATTGCACCACTTCCAGAAAATTTTGTCTGGATTACATGTTTACATTTACTCAAATTGCCTTGCTGGGAACTCATGCTGTATGACTCTCTCATCCACTCAAAGCCTGGGACTATCCTCAGTTCCTTCACCCTCAAAGCCTGGAAATGTCCTCCATTCCTTTACCCTTTACACATTAAAAACAAATAACATGAAAACTTCTGGCTCTCCCCAATGATAGAACCCAAATCACATTCTCAAAAAATATCTATTGACAAAAGCTTACAAAATAACATTTACTGTTATGCCTGCTTTCACTTTCTTTTCTCCCTGAACTCTGCACAGCAGAGACTGCTAGTAAATTAGAAATTCTAAGATGTGTCGTCTTTGTATGCCTATATGACATATACTAGAAGCATAAGCAGGAAATGAATAATTACAGAAAAAAAGTGTTGGAAAGATCCTCGAGAGCCCACCCCAATGCTTGGACTGGATCATCCAGTCTGAAACTACTTCTGAGAAACAGCTGCTTAACAGTGTTTAAAAGCTTGTGATGATGAAGGCACTGAAAGCCCCCCAGTCAGTCTCATCTAGCACTGTCCAAACCTCTAGAAAGTCAGTTCTAATAAGTGGTGGAGAACAGATAAGTCCTTTCCTCTGTACGGCCACCTTTCAGTCTTAAAGATTACATTATCCTCAATCTTTTTTTTTTTAAAAATAAACAAGTCTCTTTCAATCTTTCCTTGCAGATCGTGTTTTGTATCCCTAGCCTTATTTTCCCAACTCCTCTCTACAGCCTTCCTGAAACATGTCACACATAGCTGGACATGGTGCTCCTGCTGAGGTTTGCCTTGGCAAACATGATGGAAGGATTGTTTAATATGTCTTAGATTTTTACACATGCCAATAGCATGTTGAGTGTTTATTTTTTAAAAAATAGTCATCTGCTGTATGACCGAGGGTCAGATTAACTCCTTCTGAGACAGAAAGTGCAAACACCGAGGACAAGAAGGCTGTGCCAGGGCAGGGAGAGGTTGACTCCCATGTGCCAGACTCACTTTCATCATGCAGCCAATGGGACATGAACAAAGCAAATGAATTATGTGATAACTAATGATGAGTTTCCAAGGGACAAAACATCAAGGCAGTTTGAGTAATGCCCATAGACATCTGGGTCACATAACTAACCCTTCATTTAAGCAATAGGGCAACAGGCAAAACTGTCTTCATGACTGCAAAGACCAGAAGAGAAATGATTTTCCTCTGTAAGAAACAGGGGAACCAGTGAAACAAGAATCAATGCACAAAAAGCAGAGGGCTTTGGTAGAATTGTTTGGGGGTGGCCCTCTTTTGTTTAAGAAAGAAACACAGGAGCAGTAAGGTTAGGGGTCTAAGAACTAGTTAACTGAACTTTACCTCTACACAGCCCAGCAGGAAAGAACTGCCTTTTGGACAAAACTGTTGTAAGACTGTGTAACCAGTAACACACCAGTAGCACATGGATTGTTCAGAGACATGTGAAAAGGTGCTGAGCACCAAAGTCAACTGCTGATATGGCATTGATGTCAGGCTCAAGGCAGCTTGCCAAAAATAATCTGTTGGCTGTTGATAAAAGCGTTCTGTATCAATCGGGTTGGAAATACAAGAAAAGAGGTTATTCAGAGGACCCATCCTAAAGTCACTAGAAGTAGCAAAAGTTAGCCTGAATTCCTCGTTATTCAGAAGTACACAGTTGAGTACTAACAGGTACTTAGAAATGCGATCAGGTGCAAGCTGTAATGTGTAAGCAGCAACTGGTTTGCATCAGAGATAATAAAACCCGGCTGCCTGTGGAAGGAGCTGGCCAAGCTCCAGGAACAACTTAAGGTCAAACTGGAATGAAAGTCTGTCTTAAAAGCAGACAGAAATTTGGGAAGTTGGAAAACAAAAGTGGCTGTCTTGCAAAATCACTTAGCATTAGAATCAGCCCAAATGATCTCTGTGCAAAAAGAAAGGAGCCATTTAAAGTTTACCTCAAATGAGATCCTCCTTGCTATAGATCTAAAACCTGGACAGTACTAGACAGTTACTAGGAGTTTCAGAAAGGGGTTCTGAGCACAATCACCAATTCTGGGGTGTAAGTTTGTACCTCCATTCTGAGAGTGCCATCTTGCAAAGACAACTTTGCAACACTATGATTGGAGTATGAGCTCTGTGGGCTGCCCGTGTTACAATAACTGAAATGTAAAAATTCGGGCAGGTCTGTGATGGAGTTGGGTGGTTGTAGAGAACTATTTTCAGTGTTATGAAGCATTTACAACACACTGTGACCCAAATTTTGAATTCCTAATGTTTTACTGACAGATTCATGTAAGGCTACAGCCAGCTGCTGAATGAGCATTATGCCCTTCATCCACCAGACGGTAAGCTTAAATAAACTTTCTCAGTTGCTAGCTTTGCCCTCAGATTAGTGAGGGAAGCAATACTGCAGGACGTTTTGACCGTTCAGGGATAAGGCATGCATGCCATCCACTTGAGAGGCAGCGGAGTGACAGTGGCAGCAGGGCTGCACCACGGGGGTAAATCCTACCAGACATCTGGCAGCTCTTCAACCAGAACAGGAAAGTGCTGAGTTGCCAGACCAGGCTGCCTTTAGGGGAAGAGAAAGAGCTAATTTCAACTATTTCACAGGGAGTCTTGAGATCTGAACCAAGGGAACAGACTAGTTCTGGTTCTTGTCCAGTCCTCGTGGACTGGTCCCTGCCACTCACACAGTGGCCGAGACCTGCCCTTTTGGGTAGCCCCCGTGTTCCTCCTGTGGCCAGAGCCAAAGTCCCGTACAGCACACTGCGATCCTTCTGGAGGGGCGCTGGATATACATTTACAATGCAACGTAAAGCTTATATAGCAAGTGCATAATTTCAGCGTTGGTAATGCAAAGAAGCATAGAACCGCACAAAGCTGCATAATAATAACAAAGTCACCTGTGGAACTCTTTTGTCAAAAAATATTTAACAGGGTATTTTAAAGCAGCTATTTAAACTCACCCTGCCCCTTTCTGTTCTCCACAGAGCAGATACCGAAGGTTCCTGTACCGGTTTAAGGAAGCTTAACCAGATACTGCTGTCCTGTCGCTAGGCAGCACAGGCGGCTGCACAACTGTAAACCGAGGGGCAAAATCAATGTCGTTATAGTTAATGATGAGGAGAAACCCTGAGGGGTGAGTGACCTGTTGAGTAACCAAGGAGCACTGAAATACCCACTATACCTGTTCCAGTCTCCTGATGAGGGATTGCTAGTGGAAAATACCACCCTGCTCCGCCAGCCAAGTGTCCCGGGGCCAGCTGCAACGGCAGGCTTCTGACTGGAAGGGCAGGGCGGTTAATTTTTTCCCAGGTTTATTACAAGCCGGCTCAGCATCCCCCTCAGCCCAAACGTCCCCTCACAGTCCCCTTCCCTTCCCTTCCCTTCCCTTCCCTTTCCCTTTCCCTTCCCTTTCCCCTTTCCTTTCCCTTTCCCTTTCCCTTTCCCTTTCCCTTTCCCTTTCCCTTTCACTTTCCCTTTCCCTTTCC